TTCTACAAAGCCAACATTACACTAATACCAAAATCAAACAAAGACAGCACAAAAAAAGAAAATTACAGGCCAATCTCCCTAATGAACACTGATGCAAAAATCCTCAACAAAATCCTTGCCAACAGACTCCAATAATACATCAAAGGGATAGTATGCCACGGACCAGCACAGCGGTAGACGATGAGGCAGTCTACACCACAATCAAGTGGGATTCATCCCAGGGGCACAAGGATGGTTCAACATATGAAAATCCATCAGTGTAATCCAACACATCAACAAAAATAAAAATAAAAACCATATGATCATATCAATAGATGCTGAGAAAGCATTCAACAAAGTCCAACAACCATTTATGATGAAGGCCCTTGAAATTCTTGGGATAGAAGGAACACACCTTAACATGATAAAAGCCATACACAACAAGCCCACTGCCAACATTATTCTCAATGGTGAGAAGCTGAAGGCCTTTCCCTTAAGGTCAGGAACAAGACAAGGATGTCCTCTCTCACCACTGTTCTTCAGTATAATACTGGAGGTCCTAGCCAGGGCAATAAGACAAGAGAAAGATGCACAACAAATCCAAATAGGGAAAGAAAAAGTAGAACTATCACTATTTTCAGATGATATGATAATATACATAGAGAACCCTAAAAACTCCACAGAAAAACTACTCAAAATAATCAACCAGTTCAGTAAAGTAGCAGGATACAAAATCAACACACAAAAATCAGTAGCCTTCCTATACACAGTCAATCAGAAGAAGAAGAAATCAAAAAAATCATCCCTTTTATAATTGAAACCAAAAAAATCAAATATTTGGGAATAAACCTAACAAAAGAGGTGAAAGACCTTTACAGAGAAAATTATAAAACACTGTTAAAAGAAATAGAAGAAGACACAAAGAAATGGAAAGACATCCCCTGCTCATGGTTCGGAAGAATCAACATTATTAAAATGGCCATCCTCCCAAAAGCAATATACAGATTCAATGCTATTCCAGTAAAAATCCCAATGACATTCTTCAAAGAAATAGAACAAATCAAATACTGATGAAATTCATATGGAACCACAAATAGCCAAAGCCCTACTGATGAAAACAAAGGAGAAAGGAGGTACCACACTTCCAAACTTCAAGCTATACTACAAAGCCATAATAATTAAAACAGTTTGGTATTGGAACAAAAACAGACACACAGACCAATGGAACCAAATAGAGAGCCCAGAAATAGAGCCGCACTTATATGAACAACTAATCTTTGACGAAGGAGCAAAGAATATGCAAAGGAACACGGACAGTTCAATAAATGGTGTTGGGAAATGGACCACCACATGCAAAAAAATGAAACTAGACCACTCCCTCTCACCATGCACAAAAATCAACTCAAAATGGATAAAATAACTGGACATAAGACCTGAAACCATAAAATATATTGAAGAAAATATAGGTAAAACACTACAAGACAGACATCTCAAAAACATTTTTAGACTCATCACCCAAAGCAGTGATAGTGAAAGCAAAGATAAACACCTGGGATTACATCAAACTGAAAAGCTTCTGCACAGCAAAAGAGACATTAACCAAAACAGAGAGACACCCCACTGATAGGGAAAAAATCTTTGCACTCCAGTCCACTGATAAGGGACTGATCACAAAGATATACAAAGAACTCACACGGCTCAACAAAAACAAAATAAACAATCCAGTCAAGAAATGGGCAGAAGAATTCAAAAGACATTTCTCCAAAGAGGAAATGCAAGTGGCCAACAGGCATATGAAAAAAATGTTCAACATCCCTTATCATCAGGGAAATGCAAATCAAAACCACGCTGAGATACCACCATACACCAGTGAGAATGGCACATAAAAAAACTAGCAACAACAAATGTTGGCGAGGATGTGGTGAAAAAGTAGCTCTCCTGCACTGCTGGTGGGAGTACAAACTGGTCCAACCACTGTGGAGAGCTGTGTGGATGTTCCTCAGTCTACTGAACATGGAGCTACCATACGATCCGGCAATTCCACTCCTAGGGATCTACCCAAAGGACACAAAACCAGTGATTCAAAAGAACACCTGCACCCTATGTTTATTGCAGCACTATTTACAATAGGTAAAACCTGGAACCAACCCAAATGCCCAAAAATAGATGACTGGATCAAGGAGATGTGGTACATATACACAATGGAATATTATTCAGCAATCAAAAAAGATAAACTCATGCCATTTGCAGCAACGTGGATGGAGCCAGAAGGAATGATGCTCAGTGAAATAAGCCAGAAGGAAAAAGAAACATATCGGATAGTTTCACTTATAGCAGGAATACAGAGGAACCAAATAAGACATCAGTGTAAAAAAAATAATAACAGTGCAAACCACAACAAAGCAAAAACAGTCAATTATAAACCAGAGACATCCTGCAGGGGAGGAGGAGGGAGAGAGGTGAGAGGGAGCGAGGGAGGAACCCAGGGGACTGTGGTGATGGTGCGGGAACTGTGGCGATGGTGCGCGGGTGCCTTGGGGAAGGACATTCTATGGGGACTCAATCTGAGGGGGGTGGGGGGAAGCAAATACTGTCTAAAAAAATGTAAAACATGATAAATGTTAAAATAAAAAATACATATATATCCTATCAGTTTCACCAAAAGTAACAAAGGAGGAAAATAGACACAAAGATACAAGGAAAACTGTGAGGAAGAGGGTCTAAAACAATCCAAATATATCAGCAATTACAATTAATGTAAATGAATACTATAGAAAACTAAAGATCATTGGGCTATACGCTAATTATAAGAGGTATACCTACATCCAAACCACACCAAAAAATTGTCAAATAAAGGGTTGGAGGAAATTGTAACCTGAGCTTTGCTGCCTAAACCACTGACTCCAGGTTACTTGCCTGATAAGTCAAGACATTCAGGGTTGCTGGACAGCTGGGACCACTTGAAGTTCGAGATTTAAGGAATGCTACTCAGGCGATCTGGCATGTATTTCCTTTTATCAGTTATGTGAAAACATAGTATGTGGCAACACAGACATGAGGTGGAGGATTAGGAGGTAAGAGGTCCTAGACAGGGCTGGCTTGCAGAGCTCCCTGAGCTCCCAGAGAAGCCTTCTGCTAGCTTGCAAGTACGTCTTGTCTCCTAGAAGGAAGCCTGATGGAAGATTGCTTTCTCTGTGCCCAAAGGCAGGCAGGCTGAAAAAGACCTGCAAGCAAGGTAGCCTCTTTCTGGTTGTGAGATAAGAAAATGGTAGCCTTGAGGGGCTGAGAATGCTTTGCCTTCTGTCCTTCCAGTATGGGCATGATTGAGGTACTCCCCAAACCAGACCTGAGTCCTCCCTTCAAAGTCCATCCAAGCTAGCCCAGTATCCAAAGAGAATGAGATAATTAAAATCAGAATATAAACCAAAGTGGCTGATAGGGAAGACAACAACTACCTAACAAGAGTTAGAACCTTTTTGAAGAAAAATGACAGAAACCGACTAAAACTGATTTTCGCAAAGTAGGGGAATAAGTTGTTAACAGTCCCAACCGGAAGTATTTTTCTTGTACTTCCACCAAGTCCCAGTGTCAATTCATTGCCCTGACATGGGTCACTATTTACTCCTGACCAATCCTGTGGCTCTAAATTAGTCAGGGGTCAGAGCTCATCCTTGGAATGAGGTTGAACTGATCAGTTTAAATTATTGGGCTGGTACCAGTTTGATTCCAGGTAGGGGAGGGCAAAAGGAATAGATCAGTAAAGAGTCTCTATTAATTGCTCAGCTATCATAATGATAATTTGAGTATCCTACAAACCTGAAGATTTATATGAGAACTCAAGAGGTTCGTTTGATGCAACCAGCACTACAATCAATTTTAGATCATTTAAAAAACCTTTGATGAACAGATTACTATCAGTCTTCAAAAATGTGGAAAGGCCTTACTATGTCTCAATGGTAATTTATTTTTATTTTTTTTATTTATTTATGCATACAAGAGCTGGGGTGCAGGCCAGAGGTACCAGAGGGTGAGAGGATCCAACAGAGACAGAGTGGGGGAGCAGAACAGGCAGTTCTACTGAAACACACTGCTGAGGGGAGCAGCTCCCTGGCCTAGGATCAAACTTAGGCTGCAGAGACTGTGGATAGCTTCATAGTGCGGAGACTTAACCCCTTGTGCCACCGGAGAGGCCCCTTGACAGTAATTTAAAAGTCAGAATCTTGGGCATCCCCGGTGGTGCAGCGGGTTGAGCACAGCGCTGTGGAGCTGTCCGCACGCAGCCTCTGCAGAGTGGGTTCGATCCCCGGGCAGCCAGGGAGATACCCGCATGACGCAGCAGACCTCTCCTTTCGCACCCGCTGCTCCCCTCAGCGGTGCTTTCGGTCCATCTGCCTGTTCTGCTCCCCGCTCTGTCTCTGGTGAATCCTCTCACCCCCAGGCTTCTGGCCTGTACCCCAGCTCTTGTATATATAAATAAATCTTAAAAAAAAAAAAAAGTCAGAATCTTCCTGTGACAAAAACATCTCAAACTCTTGGATATAATTAATATCCAACCTCTAAAATCTCACTTTCTTGGAGGCTTCTCTCTTATGACTTATTTCTCAAAACCTGTGTTTTGGTGGCTGTCTTCCTGCTCCTCCTGTCTGCTGTCACACTTCTATGAAAACTCTGTAAGCCTCACTGCAGTTCAGGAAGAATAAGAGATGAACTGGCAACCCATGGCATCTGTGATGAAAGGTTAAGCTTCAATAGCTTCAGAAAGGCAGTTCATACACTGGAGATGCTCCACTGACGTGTGTTAATTCATGTGAAATTTCTTTGTATTCCTTTTTGTGTGTTGTTCAAAAAGCACAGTCTTGTATTATGTTCTCCTTCTACAGCCTTTTATTTGCATGCAATTTTATTCTCTCTCTATTTGCCTCGCATTTCTAAACTATTGAGCGTTAAATTTTCTTAGTGTTTGTCTACTTTTATCTGAAGTCTACAAACCGACTGACTGATATTTTTGTTTTTCTATTTAGGCTGACTATGTCAAAGGAAAATTGTGGTATAATGAAAAATGTTTTGCTAACAGAGAGCACTTTGAAGGTAAATTTCAATTAAATATTAACAGGCTTTTCTCAAGAGAGCATATATAGCTCTACATGCTCTTAAAATAACTTAAAACTAAAATAAAATAACTTAAAACTAAAATAACTTAAAACTAAAATAAAATAAAACATACAAGTAGGTTTGCTTTGTAGACGTTTATGGCCTAAAGCTGAGGGCAAAAATTAATTTAAATTTGAGACAATTAAAAATTAATTTAAACCACACCCTGTTATAAGTGCAAGAAAATGAATGTGTTTAGAAGTATAGATGCTGTTTGTAATTTCAGACCTTCATTTTTTACAGTTGATTATGTCACTATCACCTTTGAGAGAAACATGACTCTGAGTGAGGTATGGTATTAAAGATTTTTAAAAGGTAACACATTTCGTTGTGCATGATTTCACGGACTGCTGTTACTCTGCCAGATGGCAAGTCCATAGACTGAGAGGCTTAGCCATCACTCTGACTCCCAACCGAACCTCTATTTGGCTTTAATGGTAATTACCTAATTATGTTAATTTGATGGTTCTAGAAAAATAATCCATGCCAAAAAGAGATGCTTTGCAGTGTTTTCTAGACTCACAGTCCTTCACAGTCTTCAGAATAGAAACACAGGCTTTCAAGACGTAAAACTATTATTTATGCTTAGCCAGGACAACACAATTGTTCATTAGTTTATTTAATGAATTTATCTAAGAAAATTAGTTAGAACTTATATTTCAAGAAACAGCATTGACTTTTCATTTCTCTTTTTGTAGGCGCACTCTTGTTTTTATAGTAATGAACCATTTCGTGCATGGTATCCTTGCTTACCTCACCTTTCAAGACAAACGAAAACCTCTCCTTCCACTGTGATAACATTTCTTTTTGACCAAGAGCTTAACACTGGAGTATACCTCTACAGTGACCCCCTCCAGGTGATGATTGCACAGTATAACAGTGAGAATTTACCTTATCAAAAGTTATTTCTAAGTTCTTGTTATCTTTGGCAATAGAGGTTGATAAAATCAGCTCAAGCAAAATTATTTCAGTTAATAATTAAAGACACTTAGAGATTTCTTGTCACTGCTTGTCATTCAGTTTGATGAAAATGGAAAATGTGATGCTATTTGGGAGAATATAAGCTGAGTTTGGTCTACATAAATTTAAGTTTCCATGAAATGGTTAGATAAAATGAAAAAAAAAAAAAGAAACTAAATTGTCACAGATTATGTTTTGTGTTCCAAAGATTCTTAATCCTAGCTGTGAATTTATTGTCTTAGAGCCATTAAAAAATTCTTAACCCTATTCTAATCCTTTTAGGGGAGAAAAAAATTTTTCCTCTACACTTTTAGATTCAGCAATTACAGCCCTGCAAATTAAATTGGAAAACAACAGATGAACAGGAGATAAGAAAATGGGTTTTTTTAAAAAAGATTTATTTATTTATGCATAAAAGAACTGGGGTACAGACCAGAGGTGTGGAGGGTCAGAGGACTCACCAGAGACAGAGTGGGGAGCAGAACAGGCAGACTGACAAAATCCACTGCTGAGGGGCGCAGTGGGGAGACAGGAGAGGTCTGCTGCGCCATGTGGGTTTCTCCCTGGCCGGGGATCGAACTTGTGCTGCAGTGGCTGCGGACAGCCTCATGAGTTGTGTCTTAACCCCTTGTGCCACCAGGGAGGCCCAAGAAAATGGTTTCTTTATGTAGTTCACACAACACACACATACACACACACCCCCCCACACACACACGAAAGTCAGCGACGAGTAACTCCAAGAGGTGGGACTTACAACCCACTACACTTAGGGGTATCAGATGACTTTTTGGAAAGAAAAAAATGTTTTCAGGAAAACAAACAGGAGGTAAAAATGTTTATGACTGTGTGTGTGTGTGCAGGTAGTAATGGTCTGCCCTTCTCCGCCAGGACCATAACTCTGCCTTGAAGGAGAAGGTCTGGAGTAGGTTGGATTTGAATTCTTCCTTCTGGTTGTAACTCTCCCCTGAGGAGGAATTCATGACAGCCCTAGTTACCAGAAGCTGCTGCTGTTAGTCAAATAAGGAAAAGCCTTTTCCCCTGCCTCCAGTGAACCTCAAATATCTTCAGCTTACACCAAAGTGGCATAACGTGAGGTGTACATTGATCCCCTTCAAGATCGTGATCCAGTAGAACTGGACTGTGGCCACATGTACCCGCACACTTTCGAAAGAAGTTTGGAGCAATAATTATGAGCATTGGCATCAGAGTCTGTCTGCCTAGTTCAGTTTTAATAAATAGTAATTAGCAATAAAGCTTGACAATAATACCAGCAAAGTAATAAATAATAGTAAAAGTAATAAATCTCCACATGCCCTTTCTTATAGAAACTTGGACAAATTATTTAATCACCTTTTACTTCATTTTCTTTTTTATTTATTTATTTTTTTGGGTAAGATTTGTTTATTTATTTATTTATACAAGCACTGGGTACAGTCAGAAGCACGGGAGGGTGAGAGAATTCACCAGAGCCAGAGCGGGGAGCAGAGCAGGCAGACTGATGAAGCACACTGCTGAGGGGAGCAGCGGGCGGCAGGAGAGGTCTGCGCGCCATGTGGGACCCTCCTCCTGCGGCCGGGGAGCAGCCGGGGATCGAACCGGCGCTGTAGAGGCTGCGGGCAGCTTCGCAACCCAGTGCTCAACCGCTGCGCCACCCGGGAGGCCCTATTACTTGATTTTCAACATGAATACAACATGACTATGTATGCATGGGGGGTGGGGACAGAGGCAGAGTGAAGAGATAGTGATGATCCCTAATCTTTCACTGAGTTGATAGGTATATCCCTATCTTAGTCAAGAGTCAAATAACAGGAAACTAAAAATTGTAACATTGGCTAGTAATAGTAATGAAAAAGTTCTTATAATTTGTTCATGCTTTGTTTATCTGTTTCTAGAAACATACCACAGTCCATGTGAAAATTCTAAAAGATCACAAACCAACTTTAGTACAAAAGTTTCCAATCTTCTTATTTCCTCCATCCTTCACTTCCCCTGCTGGAATGGTATTCCATCCACGGAGTCATTTCCTGTATGTTTACGGCAATCAGGTGAGCACGGAAGTCACACCCCGCACAGGTGCATGCCATTCACTTGACGCTGAGCAGTTGTTCATCAAGAAGAGAGTCACTCTCATGGACAGGGAGGTGGAAAGTCTGCTCAAGAGAGAGTACGAGCTGGGGTTAGAGACAGTGAATACACACGTGTGTTTTGGAAAGTTTCGCTGAAACGTGGAGCAACGAAACAGGGCATTGTCTGAAGGATGAGGGTGGTCAATAAAAGGTTTTTTTTTTTCCAGATAGGAAGAATTATATGCTGATGAGAATTACTTGACAGAGAGGGAAAATCAATGCAGAAGAGAGGGGTGGGGGAGAAACTCCAAAAGTAGTATTTCTACATCTAGGTAAGAGGGGAGAGGATCTGTGCACTGGTTGTCTAGAGAGGTTGTGTGTCCACTATTCTGGCCAGACCATGGACTGTCTGGCAGCCTGGAGTCTGTTTCACCTAACTGGAAGCTTTGTGTGCAAACTGCTGAAAATAGATATGATCATTGCAGCGGGCAGATGACAGGGCAACAAGGGCTTAATGGTTTCTGAGAAGAAGAATAGATTAGCTGCTCAGGGAACCGAGATAACGAGGAGCATAGCACCAGCCAAAGAAGACACATCTCAAAAGATTTCAGACATCTGCAACCTCCCACTGGCCCGATCAGACAAGATCTACGTGAACCCAGCCCACAGACTAGGAGAAATGGTTGTTAAATCAAATGCTGAAGATTTAAAACAACAATAAGCCGTCATGAGGCATACAAAGAAACAGGGAAACGTGGCCCTATAAAGAAACAAAATAAAATCCAGAAGATGACCCTAAGGAAATGCAGATCTCTGAGCTGCCTGATTAAGAAAAAAAACTGTTAAAAATTGTAATTATGATGGAAAATAATGCATGAATAAATTGAGAAGATCAACAAAAAGAAATTCTGGGGCTGAAAAATAGAACTGAATTGAAAAACTCACCAGGGAGTTGAACTGCAGACTTGATCGACAGAGGAAAAGGCAGCAGACTTGAAGAGAGATTATTTGATATTGAATCAGAGGAGCAAATAGGAAAATGAACGGAAACAAGTAAAGAGAGTCCTGCGTGGTATTATCGAAAGGAGCTCTGCACACGTGTTACACGAGGGGGGTGATTCTAGAAGAAGAGAGAGAGGGACAGAAAACTTCTTTAAAGAAATAAGGGCCCCAGACTCTCCAAATTGGAAGAAATGGACATGTGGGTTAAAGAAGCTCCAAAAAATTTCCAATTAAGGAAACTCCAGAGACCAACACTGAGACACATTAGAATCCTAATATTCAAAGTCCTGCCTATTTTCAGGTATAACTTCTTAAATTCAATTTATAAAAAGACATCTAAAATTCAGAAATCCTCGTTTAAAGAAGACTTAGGCTATTGAAAGAGGTATCGAGAAGTATTCCTCCAAGACCTGAGCTGATGTATCTTTGAACAACTCTTACTGAAAGATGAGCAAACAGAGACACTTCGAGGATATGCTAAGATACCGGAACGCAGTCTTGTAAGTGGCAAGGCGAGCTTTCCCAGGAAACATGTTTTCACATATTTTCCAGATGCCTAGAACAGGAAGTCTCATATCAGTGGGGTAAACTCTTCCCCCATATCCAGATATACCAGAACCGCACCCATTTTTATGAACAAGGGGACCCCATTTGGGAGATTATGGGAGTAACTTTGTTCTTTTATACATTCATCACACACACTGTGCATTCCCAAGGCTCTGCTGTGTACACGGTCATGCAACTCTAGGAAGAAAACGAAGAGTAGACCAAGTAGGTAAGGGTTGTGTGGGGGGTGGGGGGTGTGTGCACGCGCACGCGTGTGTGTGAGTGTGTGTGTGTGCAAGTGAAAGAGAGAGAGAGAGAAGCATAGAAAAGACCACACTGCACGACTTCTGTAGGAAGATGCTTAGGCTGCTAGGTAGTTGCTGGCTGTTCCATGGCCACTCGAATGAGGTGTTACCTTTGTTTCCTCAGGTCTGGCTTTCAACTGATGGCGGCAACACTTTTGAACTGTTAGCTGACTTTCACGACGATACCATCATACACACTTGTCATAGCTTTTATTCTTCAGATATTATTTTTGTTTCCAAACGTGGAAAGGTTTACCTCACGAAGGCAGGTGGGAAATTTACTTTTATTGGTACGAATATTGCATGTGAACCAGGGATTAAATCTATGGGGGAAAAAAAATCTGCCATATTAATCCAATCCGAATCTTCAACTAATCCTAGGTCTCAAACCTCTTAGGGATTATGGATTTTAAAAACCTGTTGTGGTAACAATATTTATAAAGGTACCATCTTAGCCATTTTGATTGTGAAGTTTGGTGGCAGTAAGTACATCCAAAGTGTTCTGCCACCACCACCACCACTAGCCAAATCTTTTTATTTTGTAAACCCGAAACTCTACACCCTGTGAGCAACAGAGCCCCATCCCCACTCCTCAGTCTCTGACACCCACCATCCTGTTTTCTGCCGCTGAGTGTGAAGACTCTGGGCACCTCCTGTGAGTGGAATCCTACAGTATCTGTCGGGTGGCGGATGGATTCATTCACTTAGCAGAATAGCCTCAAGATGCATCCATGTTGTGATCTAGTTCAGTTTGACTTTTTAAAATAGATTCCACGTATAAGTGAGGTCTTGAAGTATTTGTCTTCTCTGTCTGATTTGTTTAACATATTGTCCTCAAGATTCATCCATGTTGTTGCTATAAATGGCAAAGTTTCCTCTTTTTTTAATGGATGATTAACGCACACACTCAGACACACACTCAGACATGTCCCCCTGTCTTTGCTATAGTGACTAACGCTTCAATGAACATGGGCATGCAGATATCTCTTTGAAAGAGTGATTTGATTTCCTTTAGCTAGATATCCAGAAGCGTATGTATTGGATCATATGGTGGTTCTATTTTTAATTTTTTGAGGAATCTCTATATTTGGCTACACCAATTTATGTTCCTACCAGCAGTGCATAAGGGCTCCCTTTTCTCCACGACATTGCCAACATTTGTTATCTCCTGACTTTTTAATAATGTCTCAAATATCCTAACCTTTAATGTCTGGCTCCCAAAAGGGGGAAAAGAAAAGGGTATTAGGGCCTAGACCTTTTTAGTTCCCTGAAAGTTGCTTCAGACAAAGTTGTAAGTTGGTTACTTACAATAAAAGGGGGGGCTGCGGGTGCAACAATAACTGTCACCCTTATCTTTGTCTGCACCTCTGTGATCAGAAGCAGCAACCAGCAATCAAAGCACAGACCCCCAACATTTGGAGGACGGGGTCCCATAAGCAACTGCTCCAGGAACATGTGCACAGCTCCCCACCACGTGGCTGGAGGGGAGCAGGGCAGGCAGGTGGCTGCTACAGTCACTTCTAGGAAACCATTGACTAATCTAAGATGGTGAAGATTTACTTCTACGTTTTCTTCAGAGAGTTTTATCATTTTCATACACATTTTTTGGTTCATCTTATCAACTAATGAAGCTAGTAATTGTACAAAAAATAAAATCACAATTCAATAACTTTATGTAGAAAGGGAGACCTATCTTCAGAAATTACAGTCTCGCCCAGCGGTGCTCGAGTAGCACTTTCACACATGCTAGGGTGACTTTGGAGACTGGAGTATAGTTGGTGATATCTGATTAGATCCAACCAGATTAGGAAAAATACTGTCTCCAAGTCAAGAGTGAGGCTGATTTTTGTTTGTTTGTTTTTAACATTGTCAGCATTCTTAACAATTTTATTAAACATTCTTGACTGTCTAGCTTCAGACAAATTTCTTCTGATCTTGTGAGTCTCTGAGATGATTTTAAACAAGCCTCCTAAAAGTTTCTGATAAGACTTCAAAAATCTTGGTTACTTGGGCTTCAATATTGTGTCCTTGATGCGCACCAGCAGAAGTAGTAAAATAGAATGCAATTTCATTTATTTGTGGGTTTCCTCTTTTCTCAGGCCCTATAAAATAATTGGAACCTGTTCTATAAGAAAATACGGAATGGTGACAATTCTCCCAGTGACATTTGCTTTATTGAGAAATAAATGCCCCGCCACTTTGCTTTCCTCTCCTGCTGCACCCGCAATGACATTACATTGTGACGTGATGTTTTTGAAGGCGTTTTAAGCAGCAATAACGCTCGACATGTATTGCACTCGCGATTCAGGAAACTCCATTAGAGATGACATTATGAAGAGCTGAGACAGAGCGCTCGCCAGGTGACCACTATGGCACCAGTGCCCCCTGGTGGACCGTGACTATAAGCTACATCAACGAGTGTTAAAAGTGTATCTCCGTTTATGGCAAGTTGATTCTTAGCAATTATAGTGGTTAATTTTATGTGTCCGCCTGATTGGGCGAAGGCACGCCCCGCTTATACATTATTTTTGAATGTGTGTGTGTGTGAGAGAGAGTTTCTGTATGAGATTAGCATTCCAATCAGAGGGGTCAGTAAATTGACCTCCCCAGTGAGGTGGGCATCAGTCAGTCCCACGACCACCTTAGCAAAATAAAAAGTGGAGAAAGCAGGAATTCTCACCCCTTTGCCATTCTGCCCGCCTGCCCGGTTAGGGTATCTTCTCCTCCGGGCCTGACACCAGTGGCCTCCGGGTAGCAGACCTTTGGCCCCTGCCTGGGAGTCAAGCCATCGGCAGCCCTGGTTCCCAAGCGTCCAGGGCTCTAGCTCACAGACAGCAGGTCATAGGATTTCTTCTTATAAGAGTCTCCCACACATATGTCCTTGTCGAGCTCGTGGTGGAAGTGATGAGAAGTGGTTGGAGTGCATGTGCATGCGAGGCTGATGTTAATAGGATTTGCTGATGGATTAGATACAGGATAGGAGAGGAAGGATTAAGAACGCCTCCAAGGCTGTGGATGGAGCCTCAGGAATAGTGCAGTGGCCCTGCTGCCCTTGCTAGAGATGAGGACGGCTGAGGCTGGAGGGGGTTTGTGTGAGGGCAAGGCGTTCCGTCCGAGCTGTGTGACCGACGTGGGTCTGTAGGTAGCAGGCAGTTACATGTGCATAAGCCTGACATTAAAAGAAAATAAGGAGATGAGAAATTTAAGTTTGGGGATCACCCACACAACAATGGACTGACAATCCTCCAGCTGGATGAGAGCTCTGGGTATGGCAAGAGATGGGAGAATCGTGCCGCATCTCAAGTTTGAGGGGCAGGGGAGCAGACAGGGAGGGCTGGGGACGGATGTGTGTGGAAATCAGCCTTTCCATCCTGAGACCTGAGCTTTCACCCGGATCTCTTCGGGCCAGGAGCTCACGCTCTCTCTGGAGCAGTATCTGCTGGTAAGTGATATCGCTGCACTTCTCCGTCACTGTCAGTACCTCCCAACGTGATGCTCTAAGGCAGGAGACACGGGACACAAATGTGATTCGACATATCAGACCTAGTGCTGATGACCCGCTGGTCTCCACAGATATTGTCCTTTCCCTCCTGGGGGTTATTTTCTCACCATCTTCTGCCTGTTCAGGGGCCTGCTTGACTGGTATTAGGAAGAGAAACCTCTCCCAGGAGGAGCTGACCTCTTTCCTTCTGGATCTCTTGATGAAGCAACCCCTCACTCTGTCCTTCGCCTGCTTTAGCACACAAGTCTGTAATGAACTGGAGCCTGGGATATTTTTAACCTTTTGAAGCAACAGGGGCCTAACGAAGACTAACGTGTGTGTCACCGGGTTCTCTGAGCCCAGCCCCCGCCCTCATTTCCAGTGAAGGCGTTTCCACAAGGTATGGTATCAAGAGCGTCCCAGTTGTATTCTGTCACTAACAGAAAAACATCTGTTTCTTTCCTAATAGGAATAAAAAGATATACTGAGCTGGGATCTATTCCCGATAAGATTTTCACATTATACTATGACCACATGGCGTTTATACATAAACTGACTCCAGAGCGTTTTGAAGTTGGAAATACACTAGCCTTTGGAGATACAACAGGTTTTTTTGGCCAGGTCAGTGATCTAATGCATTGAAAGAGCCTTGTGTTGAGAGTAGATGCCACACTCCACCCGCAGAATGACAGGGGAAGTGGGGAAAGTATTCTTCTGGGCGCAAATTCATTTTTCCGCACTTTATTTAACTAAAGGAAAAACTTCCGTGTAGCAGAGAACACCTCCAAAACCTTCTTCTAAGTCCCATGCAGGGCTGTGTAAAGTTAACGCCACCCCAGATATCCTCCTACAAATATCTTCAAGCAAAACACCATCTGAGATGCCAAGCTAGACCCACTACTCCCAACCCAGGGTCTTTGTGGGCTTGTGAAAACTTGAGGTAACTGGTTTTTGGTTAGTTGTGTCTGAGCAGAGTCTACACCACAGACTGGCTCACACGGAGGTCACAAGGAGGACCCCAACTCGCTCATGAGTGACTCAGGTAGGGGGGCTAACACCGTACTCTTACTGCAGTCTTGGGCTGGCGATCTGGAATGATTCTCTATCTCCCAAGAGTGACCTTGAGTAAACCTGAAGTTCTTTTTTTTCACATTCAGTCTGCCCCCTTGGTTATAATGCTAACATAGGAAGAATTTATTCTCTTCATAGATGATACCGCATACAGATGTTGCTAGTATTTTTTTTTTAAGATTTATTTATTTATTTATTTATACATGCACTGGGTACAGTCAGAAGTGCGGGAGGGTGAGAGAATTCACCAGAGCCAGAGCGGGGAGCAGAGCAGGCAGAAGGACCGAAGTACACTGCTGAGGGGAGCAGCGGGCGGCAGGGGAGGTCTGCGCGCCATGTGGGACCCTCCTCCGGTGGCCGGGGAGCATCCGGGGATCGAACCGACGCTGCAGAGGCTACGGACAGCTTTGCTACCCAGCGCTCAACCGCTGCGCCACCGGGGAGGCCCCTGTTGCTAGTATTTTTAATGTGCAGTGTACCACTGTCGAGCTAGATGTGCCAAAGGAGCTCATAATCGGGCACGGGGCTATGACAATGGACTCATGTCACCGTATCAGCGAGAATCAAGCAGGTTGCTTTGACTGGAGCTAATAAAATCTGTCCTTTGGCCTGAAAGAAATAGAACAAAAGGTGAATCTATTCTTAGTAGATCATTCCAGATCGCCAGCCCAAGACCGCATTGAGAGTACAGTGTTAGCCCCCCTACCTGAGTCACTCATGAGCGAGTTGGGGTCCTCCTTGTGACCCCCGTGTGTGCCAGTCTGTGGTGTAGACTCCGCTCAGACACAACTAACCAAAAACCAGTTACCTCAAGTTTTCACCAGCTTCAAAGTTCACAGACAATGTCTTCGCTCTCTTATGTGAGTGTTTAAATTGTTAAAATCAAAGACTGCTGGGGGTTTTATACTCAGGACAATTTTGAGGAACTCACCCCCAATTTTATCACCTCCCTCCTCCCAAACAGACCATGCATGCACCCTCTTTGGATAAAAATAAGGCCCAGCCTTCTTTGAGCCTCACTGTGTGCCAGATACTCCTCTGGGCTCTTAATCTTTCTGTTTAGCCTCATTTTACTGATGAAAAAAGGAGGCGCCATGAGGCTGATTAATTTACCCAAAATTACACAGACCACTAGTTAGTTCTTGGAATCAGGAATCTATCCAAGCAACTGGTCCCAGGGCCTGTGCTGTCAGTCACCAAACCCTGTCACTGGGCGCACATACCCTTTGTGTAAGCTATCCTTGCTGCCCTAGGCTAGAAGGCGGGACCAAATCCCACGTACTTTCAGTCTTTTCAGTAATCTTCAAGAGTCCTGAAGCCATCTGTTCAGCCCCACATTTCCTCTTCTTGCATCTATTTCTTGCATCTATTTTCTCCTCTTTTCAGAGGTTCCCAAATTTAAGAGACGAGGAGGGAGGCACGACCATCAGTGGGGCTGGGAGGCACCATCTGATGTCTGTGCCCAGCGGGTCTGCACCACTACACCCACCCCTCTTGCCCCAGCAGCAAGGGCAACTCCAGCGTTGGAGCTGGTGGGGACTGGCCCCACCTCTCTTCGGGCCCTGCAGGTTCCCAGCGCTGAACAGGATCAGAGAACAGTGTTTGGAAAACAAGACCTGAGGGTCAGAAACCTGGGCCGAACTACCCTTATTGACGGCAAAGCCTGAGAAAGGCCTGTGTCGCCAAAGTCAGGGCGGGGACGGTCGTGCTAAGTCACTAGCAGGAGGCCTCAGCCGCGGATTTCAAGTAGGAGAGGCACTGGGCCGCCCTCCCCTGACTGGAACTCCGAAAGAGAGCCTGCTTCTACGGTCCCGACCTCCAGCAGCCCCCGCCCCACATACACGCACACCTGGAAACACACACACACACACACACACACACACACACACACACACACGTCCCGTCTCCCCTTCCCTCCAGCCTCCTGCAGAGACCATAGGAAACGTCTCCAGAGTCTTACTCTCCAGAATTTCTTTTGCTCCTACTCAGGAAAAAAGTGCATTTCCCCTCGCGCACACACAGGTGTGCCTTGGATACAGGGCAGTAGCGCTTGGATGTGAGCTGCATCCGACCTGTTATTCTCACTCCGAAATGCCAAAGAGCTGAAATGTCACATAGTCGAAGTTGCTTCTCTTTTCTCCCCTTTCTGTCCCAGGCTCCTGACATGGGCTTCGAGACTGCACTTGCTCCGCAGTACCTCACCTCCAACAAAATGATCTTCTACGCCTACGTACCAGTGAATGCACCCAAGGACAAAATACACACCAGGAAATTCGACTACATTCATCTGGGGAAAATGTTACACTCTGGGTAGTTACTGATCTGCCTTCTGCTTATTTAGACGACACGCTGGTTTCTAGAGTCTAAAGTTTGAGCTTGCTTTTTGGAATAATTTTTACTCAATAGAGTAGGTCTTCTTTTGACACCTCACAAGCCAGACACGTTTATAAATGCCACGGCGTCTTGTACCCTGCCCTGATTTGAGAATCATGGGCCAGTTGGATCAGCACCATCAGACCAGCTGCAGAAATGTGGGCTTGCCATCCTGAGCATTCAGAAAGTTCTGGGCTCGCCCAGCTGCTGCCTCTCCACGGTGTTCACTCAGGACGTTCTCCTGTATCCAACAGACAAACACGTCTGTCTGACTGGCAGAGCAGAGTTCATCTCTTTTTATAGCTGAGTAGTATTACATCAGGTACACGTGTCACATCTTGCTGATCCACTCATCTGTGGTCAGACACTTCGGTTGCTTCCATCACTTGACTTTTGTAAATTTGCTGCAGAGAACATGGGCGTACCTGTGTCCTTTCAAATTAGTGTTTTTGTGCCCTTTGAGTTCTTCCATCTACGAGTGGAATCGCTGGCCATTTGGCAGCTGTTGGTGTGGGTGAGTTGGGGCAGGGCTGGCTTGTGTTTGTGGCATCCCTGATTTCGCTCCTTTCTGGGGCGTGGGATGCTAGACCCAGTGGTCCCTGCGCTCTAAGTGCTCCGTACAAGGTAAGCTCCTGGGAGTGCAGGTCAGAATGCCCGCTCTGCTGTTATTTTTACCTGGGGGCAGCCTGTGGGGAGCACCCCAGCTCTTCCACTAGGTTTCCCCCTCTTTCAAAGGAGTTTCCTCTACCAGCCTCCAGGCCTCTCCAGGACAGCCCTCCCACTGGTGTTCCCCAGCCCAGGCCACAATCCCCAGGGTCCTCTCTCCAGCCACTTCCTGTTCAATGTAGCACGAATCTCCTCCGTGTCAACCCTGTTGAAGTCTGGGGGGGCCTGCAGCGGTGGGGTTACTTCCGGGTCCCAGACCAGGACGCCACAGGGTCTGCAGGGGCCTGCTGGGTGAGTCACCAGGCAGAAGTTTTTAACTTTATAAAGTATGGCTTATCAATATTTTTATTTCCAGGATTGTGCCTTTGGTTTGTATATAAAGTCATCACTACACCCAGGCATATCTAGATTTCCTCCTATATTACTTTTTAGGAATTTTAAAGTTTTGCATTTTATATTTAAGTCTATGATCCATTTTGAGTTAATTTTTATGAAGGGAATCAGGTCTGTGTCAAGATCTATTTTCATTTATGGATATCCTAGTTGAGCATTTTTAAAGTCGATTGGTTTTCTTGATTATAAAGTATGTGTTCATGATAGAAATTTCTTAAAACATAGATAAATAAAAACAAAACACTTGAAATCATGATGGCTAGTACCTTAATGAATTAATAATTAGTCCTTTTAATATGCATAACATGCGTAACATTTTCTACCATGCTTTTTTCACTTAGACATTCTGTAAGAACACTTTCCTTGTGTAGCTAAAACTTTTAAATACTATTTTTAAAATAGTTACATTTTTGTCTAGGTAAAATCAAGTAGTAGAATTTATTTAACTTTCCTATTGCTGAAATCTCTTACTTCTAACAATTATCAGAATGCTGCAATAAGCATTTTTGTGTGGAAAACTGTTCTTCTCTCTTGTGTTTCAGCATATTTCCTTAGGCTAGAGCCCTATCAATAGACTAACAGAATCAAAGAGGGAGAGAATGTTAGAGATCTTCGTGCATAATGTCAAATGGCTTTCTAGGAAGCTGGTGCCAATTTACAATCCCACTAGTAGTGGATGAAAGTCTATCTCTATTCAGTTCTTGCAGCTTTGGAAACCTGTCGTTTCAAAATAATTGCTAATTTGATTGATGAAAAATTATATCCCATTTCTGTAATTTGGATTTCATTGATTATTAATAAGATTGAACAAATGCTAATTAAATGTTCATTTGTTACCCATTGTAGTACATTTTATTTATAAATTATATACTCACAATTTCCTCATTTAGCCACTGTTTTTTGCCCAAATTGCTTAATGTTTGTTGGCTTGTCTTTTAGGAAAACTGGAACAGCTTACATAAAAGAGATAGTGAAATATGACACTTCTGAAGGATTTTTGTCCTCCGCTACTGCAGAAATTACAGAGCCTTTTGGACTAGAGGAAGCAAATGAGAGCACTTGTTTGCTTAGTTCCCTTAAAATTCAAAGTGATGGAGATTCCTATAAACTTACACTTCAGTTGCAATGTAAGTGTAATATACATCCCTAGTGGTAGAAAAAATGAAAAGTTATCTTTTGGGAAGGCTTTTCATGCTCATTTATACATTAGTAGTTTTCAAAATTTAGTTCAGTTGGTAATCTATAGATGTCTCCATGGACTTAGATTCCTGGAGGAATTCTTTATTTTAATATGTTAAAACCTAGTCATAACTTTTTTGCCTCATTTTGCTGTGTTGAGAATAGACTGGGCACTCATGGAGAAAGGGCAAGAAAGAAAGCAGAAAAATTATTTAAGAGACTGTTGGAATAATCAGTTGAGAGATCATATTAAATGGAAGATACCTGTTACTCATAAAAGTGGAGAGATTAAGTGGATATATAGAAAGACAGGCCTGAAGTTCAGGAAAGACTGTTGGACTAAAGAGATCATTCTGGGGCCTTCCCTGGTGGCGCAGCGGTTGAGCGCTGGGCTGCAAAGCTGCCCGCAGCCTCTGCAGCGACGGTTCTGTCCCCGGCCGCCTGTCCCCGGCTGCCGGGGAGGGTCCCACGTGGCATGTAGACCTCTCCTGCTGTGCCCGCTACTCCCCTCAGCAGTGTGTTTCATCAGTCTGCCTGTTCTGTTCCCCGATCTGTCTCTGGTGAATTCTCTCACCCTCCCGCACTTCTGACTGTGCCCAGTGCTTGTATAAAGAAAGAAATAAATCTTTTAAAAAGAGAGAGATCATTCCAAACAGTCAGAACGAAGGAGTGAGGGGTAGGGGGATGAAAAACTATTTGATGAAATAATGTCTGAAAACTTCTCTAAATAGACATTCGTCTTCCTGAATCAGTCTTTCTTTTGGCTTCCTTCCTATCCTCGCTGACTCCTATCACTTCTCCGTGAAATCTTTGCCCTTTGGCATTCCTTATATGATGGGGCTCCCTCAGGCCCTGCCCTAGAGCCTCTTCTAACTCTCCACCATTTTCCTTAAGCAACATCGATTCATCAATTCAACAAATATTGATTAACTAACCTTCTGAGAGATAGATTCTAGACACTGGGCAAACTCTGGCTACGTTACCTTTCTCTTGTAGAATCAGAATAAAGACTCTAGGTTATTAAGGCTCTTAACAGTTCTGTAATAAATTAGCTTTTTTGCACTTACTTAGCCCTACATGGTTTATTTTTCTGCTGAGAATTTTTGTAGAACTAGTTTTGTAGAATAGGCTTATGCTTGATATGTTTGAATATGTATCTTTCTATAAAATGATTGATTATAACCTGAAATCTATAACCTAGTTAAGACCATAGTTTAATACCTCAACTAGTATATTCATCAGTTATGTTCATGTGTGCTTGGCACCATTAGTTGCTTTATTTTAAACCAAATCATTCTTCTTATAGCTCCTGGTGTTATATCTTCATTTCAAGATACGGATATAGAGAAGACTGTGGTGATTCCTGGTTATAGCAGCTTCCTGATCACAAATATTTTAGATGCTAACAATGCCTTAGCTATTGCTACCATGCCTGAAATAGTGCCCCATAATATGACCTTTCCAGAAAACTCCTGGTTCTTATACAACTTTGGGCAAAGGCATGGACGAACATGGAACATATCTTCAAAACCATGTAATTACTGGTTTCGACTATTTGATAATACACTGTCCCTTAATGTCCTGAAGTACATTGATCTGGGAAAATCTTATGCCTTAAGAGTTAAGATCATACCTGGATCAAAAGGTAAGTTAATTTTTATTGGGATACATCAAAAGCATCTTGTTTTGCTTTCCTTGGATGTGAAATATACTCTTTGATAGTTCCTTTATCCTTGGTTTCCTAGCAGCTGACATCCTACTAACAACAGCTTCCAATTATTGAGCACTTACTATGTGTGAGGCTCTGTATTAACAATTTTATGCCTTTTTAATTTAATATTTATGACCACCCTAAAAGCCTAGATTATAATCTTCATTTTACAAATGAGAAAAATATAGTTAACAGGCCAAGTTTCTACCAAATTTTACTTTGGATTTTTGCTGTTCTCTTAAAAAGAAAATATTTTCATTATCTTGGCATTGTAATTATTTTAAGAAGTTTAAGGCAAAAAAATGACTTCTAAATAGAATTCTATTTTCCTGCAGTTTGCCAGGTATTTATTACAAAAGTAATATGAAATGTATTAAAATTGATGGAAAAGTGACATACTAGAAAAACAAAATATTTAGTAAATAACTGAGAAAGAGAGGAGGGAATGATGGCAGCAAGGGAGAGAAAAAGAAGAAAATCCTGCTGCTGAAAATGAAGAGGGAACTCAAAGCCAACGAAATTAGTTAATTCATGGCTCCTTGTAGGATGTGAGGCTCAGGTAGGAGTTTTACATCTAGGCAGTGGGGTGGGTTTTAATTCTCAAGCATTGGCAGACATTGTAGCTTGGACCTACTTTCTTCATGGTGGAAGTTGCCACCAAGATCACTCACTAGAAAGCTGGGACGGTAAAGAGGGGACTAGAAAACTCGACTCACCAACTCGAAGAAAGAGACAGGGGGATTATCACCTTCATAAAACTCAGACTGGAGAAAAGAATTTCCTATTAAAAAAAAACAAAACCAACAACAAGACTGTGGAACATCCAGAGTGAACCCACCAGGTACCAGAACCTCTAGTTGAGAATTTTCACCCCAGCATGAGCAGGAACAGTGCCTCCTGTGGGAATCCTTTCATAACGCAAGTAACAGGGACTTCATGGAAAAATCAATCTTCATTGAACGTGAATTGAAGAAAATGATTTTAAAACTGTGTAAGGAGATGACGGAATATAAGGGTATTCTAACAGACCCAGGGAACAGAAAAATTTAATCTCCAAGAACTTGAAATAATAGAAACACCACAAAATAAATATACATAAAACCCTTAAAGAGATAAAAATATGATATACAAATCATAGTGAAAGGACAAAGCACTGCATTTTAAGAGGCTATGTGCGAAGCAGAACTAAATACCACCTATATAAATGAAAATTACAGGTTTTGAAAAAAATGGGAGGTCATCTGCTTCTATGCCCATCTATTCTGTAACCTAAATATCCTGCAAAACTTCTTTCTAAAATCATTAGAATCCTTTCTCATTGAGAGGGTGTTAGGTCAACAGGGCGGTGGGGGAAATGCTGAGGTTAGGTTCTCCCATAAAAAAAAAAAAGTTAATAGGGGGGAAAAGCAGCAGGTCCCTGCAAAAACCAGGACACGAAAGATAAACGGGCGACTCTGGCAAACTGCCCAAAGGGGAAAGCTGCCATAAAAGAGGACAGAAAGAGAGGAAGCTCAGAACCCGGCGACCATCCTGTAGTGGGCAGGAAGGGACGGAGCAGGATTTCTATGACCCGAGCAGACCGGGTAAAGGAAGAGAGTCCTGGAGCCCTCGGTGGCTTTTGCTGGCTTTAATTGGGATTTACCAGGTAAATCCAGGTGTGTACCAGGCATGTACCAGGGTGGGGGGCGGTGGCCAGGAGGCGGTCAGGCCTCCAGCCCCCAACAAGTCTTCACTCTCTTGTTAGAAGGAACCTACTTTAACATGATAAAAGCCAATTACAACAAACCCACCGCCAATATTATTCTCAATGGCGAAAAGCTAAAGGCCCTTGCCCTTCCTTTAAGATTAGGAGCAAGAAGGGCCTCCCCTGGTGGTGCAGCGGTTGAGCAGGGCTGCGAAGCTGCCCGCAGCCTCTGCAGCACCGGTTCAATCCCAGGCCACAGGCGAGGGTCCCACATGGTGTGCAGACCTCTCCTGCCGCCCGCTGCTCCCCTCAGCAGTGTACTTCGCCTGTCTGCCTGTTCTGCTCCCCGCTCTGGCTCTGGTGAATTCTCTCACCCTCCAGCGCTTCTGACTGTACCCAGTGCTTGTGTAAATAAATAAATAAATCTTAAAAAAAAAAAAGATTAGGAGCAAGACAAGGATGTCCTTTCTCACCACTGCTCTTCAATATAATACTGGAGGTCCTAGCCAGGGAAATAAGACAAGAGAAAGACATATACAAGGAATCCAGATAGGGAAAGAAGAAGTAAAACTATCACTATTTGCAGACGATATAATATGATAATATATATATAGAGAACCCTAAAAACTCCACAGCAAAACTACTCAAAATAATCAACCAGTTCAGTAAAGTAGCAGGATACAAAATCAACACAAAAAATCAGTAGCCTTCCTATACACAATCAGTCTGAAGAAGAGGAAATCAAAAAATCCATCCCTTTTATAATTGAAACAAAAAAATCAAATACATGAGAACAAACCTATCAAGAGAGGTGAAAGACTTACACAAAGAAAATAATAAAACACTGTTAAAAGAAATAGAAGAAGACACAAAGAAATGGAAAGACATCCCCTGCTCATGGATTGGAAGAATTAACATTATTAAAATGTCCATCCTACCAAAAGCAATCTACAGATTCAACACTATTCCAATGTATACTTAGCTCAGATCATCACGTGAACTCCCATGCCCCTCCCCAGACTTGCTAAATCAGAATCCTGAGTTTTAACAAAATCCCCAGTTAAAATTTAGGAAGAATGACCCGATCATTTTGGCGTAGGGGACACTGCTGTAGATGAGATTTCAGGCACATTAATTACTAATTCTCAACTCTGACTTGCAGATTAATAAAGCTTTTCATTATATTTCCCAGAAGGGAGGGGTTGCAAATAAGTGGGCTGAAGGCAAAACTGACCTGATTGTGTTCAAACCCGTATGGAGTTTTCTCTTGGCAACAATTGACTGACAGCCCTTTATTTTTCAAATGATTTTTTAAATGTTTTTTATTGAGGTAATGCTGATTTACATCACTGTTTGTATTTTAGAAGCATAGGATCCCCGCTTCAGGTACTGTTACCATAGCGCGCCCACCACCAAAGTTCCACCACCGTAGTTAAACATGCGTGCTTCGGTTCTCTACAAAGTCATCCACCTCTGTCCACATCTTTTTGATACCACTGAGGATTGAGGGGTGGAGGGAAGCAATTTTGCTCAGAAGAAACACGGTATTCATGAAGTTCGATTTTTCTAAGAATCATTAAATATTTGTAGCTATTATGTAGCCTTCATAATTGATACTATAGATGTTCTAGAATACTGACTAGCCCATCATTATTCAGTTGTTTAAATTTTCATGATTTAATATTGTTGATCTTGTTTCCCTAGATACTCAAGTAGTTGAAAAACCACTATTGACTGTGATTGTTGGAAATCCAAATTTGTTGGCATTTAAAGCTGAAGGCTTTTTTGATGATACTGATAGTTACGTAGTGGAAATTTCTGCAACTAGCAAAGATTTACATCAAGTAATATATTCTTTAATTATAAAAAATATTAATTTTAGAAAATTTAGAATATAAACCAAGAAAAAGAAGGACAAATTGTACAGAACCCTACCGACCAAGGATGACTAAGAACTTGTAACATTTGGGGTATGACCAAAAGGTGGTGTAGCAGCATGACATAGAGTTTCAAAGAGGAAGATGCAATGAGTTCAGTCTGACTTCTGGTATTATCAATGAGAATTTGGGGAAGTTACTGTGCTGCTTTTTAATCTATAAAATGGAGATGATGGAAAAAAATACCTCATAGGGTTGTTTTGAGAAGTAAATGTCATGCTTTAAGTAGGGCATCTAAAACCATGTCTCACACATGGAAGGGGCTCAGTTGTACAGATCCTAAAGGGTCTCTGTCTCACTTTCACCAACTTATACTCCACAAATTTTGAAAGAGCCAATGGGTTTCAAGAAGGAGCAGAGCAGAAATGGTAGATCGCACAGAAGTAGAAGAGTGGAAAGGCCTTGAGCCACATTCTCTTGACCTGAGAGCAGCAAGCATCCTGGTTTTATGGGGTTGACTACCAGGGCGGGGTATCAGGTGACAGCATCATAATGTGTTTGGGGCTGGGCTACCCTGGGGCACGTGCAGATGGGTTACATGCGTCTTCATATTTCATGTCTCGTTAGCATCTTTGGTCTCCACCCAAGGGTGTGTGTTCTTAGCGGTCTAATCAGTCCTAGGTCACGACTAGGTCAGTTTTGCTGTCTGTGTCTGTGCGGCCATCAGGTTTCAATTGCTTCTGGAGCCCTTGCCTGAAAGCAGGAAGCCCCTGGAGGGTGGATGGTCTGTTGCTCCTGGTGACTGGCTGCATTCCTATTAGCCTGGGGGCTCATTAACAGGAAGGTGAGGCCAACAAGATCTAAGTCCTCTTGTACTGAGGATTGGATTAGCATACACCCTAATGATGCATTTTAACTTAATTGCATCCGATTTCCAAATACAGTGACATCCTGAGAAACTGGGGGTTAGAACATCAACTTACGAATTTTGAGGGGATATATGTCAGTCTATAACAGTTACTCTTTCTTTTTTTTTTTTTCCCCTAAATATTTATTTATTTATTTATTTATTTATTTATACAAGCACTGGGCACAGTCAGAAGCTCGAGAGGGTGAGAGAATTCACCAGAGGCAGAGCAGGGAACAGAACAGACAGACTGACGAAATACACTGCTGAGGGGAGCAGCGGCTACGGCAGGAGAGGTCTGAGCGCCAGGTGGGACCCTCACTGGCAGCCGGGGATCAAACGAGCACTGCAGAGGCTGCGGGCAGCTTCGCAGCACAGCGTTTAACCACTGCACCACCAGGGGAGGCCCCTAACTTTGATTTTTTTGGATATTTCCAGGGTTGGACTTCACTGGCATTGATTGTCTGGGGAGCATCGACTGAGTGCTTTGTTACAACCTTTGTGCCAACATTGAAAAGCAGCTGTAGTTATCTCAAATTTATGCATCACAGACCTATTAATATTATCCCACTGGAAGACTGGACTAGTGGCATTCACAGAGACAGCCAGGGTTTTAATATGATCAAAACTTTGCCGGTAAAAAATTTAAGCAGATTTTTTTAAGGGCACCAGTGATGTGCTACTTTTATGGGATTGGTTGGCTCCTCAGTTTTAGCATTTCTTTTCTAAGATGCTCAAAACACTCCAGATGACTTCAAGTCATTTTGAGGATTTGATGATTATTTCTAAAATGTAAAAACTTTCTAAAATAATGATATTTCTTGGTAACTTATTTTCATCATTTTAGTATCATTTTATGTTATATTATAGTGGCATAATCTTACGCTTTTTCATTATGTAGTTATTTGCCCATATGTTTACCATCTTGACATATCTTACTGGCCTCAATGTAGTAACAATTTCAATTTTTACCTTGTCAGAATCTATGACTTTTTAAGATGTAAATTATTAGTCTTTCTTAACTAATTTATTACTTAAAAATTTTTTGTGACTAAAAATCAAATAACCAAACTTGAATAAAATCAAATAACCAGACTATAGCCATAATTTGAGGTTGTTGAAATTCTGAAAAACAAAGAGTAAGGGATATAAGGAAAATTGAAATTTACCTTAATACATGGAGCTAAAAATGAAATATTTGCTTTTCTTGAAAATCAAAACAACAATAAATGACACATTTTCCTTGCCTGACCCCTTGCAGATAAATTACAGGCCTCCATCTAATATGGGAATTGCTATTCCACTGACAGATCATTTTTATCATGCAGATCCTAGTAAACCCATACCAAGAAATCTATTTCACAAATCAAAGGTAAGGAATTTCTCTATAGATAAGCAAGTATCCATTTGAGTTCAAGAAATCATTCAGTAAAGTTACAGATGGACCTAGTTGCAGGGGTGAATGAAAAGGTTTGTTCAGCTCAGTGTTTCTTCTGCCCTGATAAGTCAGCTTATCATCATCATCATCACACTGCTGTCAATACTACCCCTGATTTTTATATTACTTCTTCAATCTCCCTTCTTCTTACTCATACTCCTGAACACATTTTTGAAATCAAGAAGTCTAGATGGACCTCACCCATCACCACTAATCCCAGCCCCACTGACTTCTCTCTATCTCCCATTTGGATTTCAAAGGGATTGGTGGGGTGAAAAATCCTAATGAAAGGAGCTCCAAACACTTTCCTCATGTCTGCAACCTTGTGAAAGGAACGGGGTGTGTTTAAAAGGAAGGTTTTGCTTCAACATAGACACATTTATTTTTTTTAAAGATTTATTTATGCATACAGGAGCTGGGGTACAGGCCAGAGATGCGGGGGGGTGAGAGGATCCGCCAGAGACAGAGTGGGGAACAGAACAGGCAGACTGACTGAAGTACACTGCTGGGGGGAGCAGCAGGGAGACAGGGAGAGGTTTGCCTCACCATGTGGGTCACTCCCTGGCTGGCTAGGGATCTAGCTCATGCTGCAGAGGCTGCGGACTGCTTCATAGTGCTGTGCTTAACCCCTTGTGCCACCAGGGAGGCCCCAACAGAGACACATTTAAACTCCTGCCAGGAGAATTTAAACAAGGAGTTGTGTAAATTAACTAGTGTCAGTATGGCACAGTGGAATCTAAGCCAGAATTATCTGGAAATATTTCTACAATGCTACTTTCTCAATCTCACCTCATTACTGAATCAGAAGCTATAGGGTATGGTCCCAAAATCTGCATTAAAATATCTCTATGGTTAATCCTGATCTATCCCAGAGTTTAAGCTAGACAAGTACTAGAGCTGGACACAAAGCAAGCAATGTGACTGTGGATCCTTGATGCCTGAAAGGTGAATGGGGATTAACCAAACAAGGGACAAGGAGAAAAACAAAAGAGGGAGAAAGACCCAGCGCATTCCAGGCTAAAGGAACACCCAGCACAAAGGGCAGATATGGGCAAGAGCTCAATGATTTTGAAGGATTCAAAGACCAGGAGGAGCACAGGGAAGCACTAAATCAGGCTGGAGAGAGTAGGCCCTAATGCCACAGGGTTGTTGTAGGCCCTGGAGAGGGTCTTTAATTTTACCCTAAGAAAGATCAAGAACCACCCAACGAGTTTAAGCCAGGAAGTGACTTGCTTGCCTACTTGTGTTTTAAAATATACACATTTGGGCCTCCCTGGGGGCACAAGGGGCTAAGTCTCAGCACTATAAATCTGTCCTCAGCCACTGCAGCACAAGTTTGATCCCCGGACAGGGAGGTGACCCAAATGGCGCAGCAGACCTCTCTTGTCTCTCCCGCTGCTCCCCTCAGCAGTGTGTTTCAGAAGATCTGTCTGTTCTGCTCCCCACACTGTCTCTGGGGAATCCTCTCACCCCCCCCCCCATACACACACACCTCTGGCCTGGCCTACACCCCAGCTCTTGTATGCATATATAAATAAATCTTTAAAAAAAAACACACATTTGTCAAATGACAAAACTAAAATAATTCAGTAATGAGTTGGGTGTCCTGTATTCATGGGATGGGGAATGCAGAGCTTTCTTCTTGAGGGGTTTTGGGCAAGAGCACATTTTGTAGAACGTTAGAAGAGGTGATGCGGGAGCAGGGTGTGGTCGACTAGAAGGTCAGGGATTCCTTCTGAGGCTAGCAGGTGCTGTTCTGTGAGGTAAGGTAGTCGTGAAGCAGAGCTGGAGGGAGGTGGTTGCTGTCAGGCTTCTGGGAATACAGGCTGCTTTAGGCTTAGATTTGTAGCATGAACCATTTTGTGCATGGGGGCAGCATCATTGTGTGGCTCCTGATATACAAATTAACTTTGTCACATTGTATTTTTACCAAAGTAGATTGAACTGAAAATGACTAACATCTACACCCTTTCTTGGTGAACATATTTTCAAAGAAAACTAGAGAGCAAGCGGGGGGGGGGGGGGGTGTGGGGGGGGGGGGGGAGAAAGAGTTCTATTCAGAGAGCAGGGAATTCCAAAAAGAGAAAGCAAATAGAATCAGAGACGCCTCTTCCACAACTGCTAGAGGTCTCAGGTGGTGGAAACAAAGGAACACAAATTGAAAAAGCAAACTGAAAAGAGTTGATTATCGAATTCAAGAGTCAGTTCTTTGAAAAAGGTGAAATAAACCAATCTCCAGTGAGAGTGACTGGGTAGAAAACGAATGACAGGACAGTTCCTGTGGCAATTTTGAACATCCTTTGTGAGTGCTGTGAGGACAAACAGGTCTGAAACAGGCTTGGAGAGTGTGGTCTGGTGTCTGTAATATCATGTCAGCTCCTCTGGGCCTCTGTGTTCATGCCTGCAATGGGAGGGCCCGAGAGCAGTGAGCTCAGGGGTCCAAGAAGCGGCCTTCAGAGCAACACGGGCTTTCTAGGTCCCATCCAGTCTCCTGAGGTAAATTGTATAGCAGTGGAGGAGTACTTGGATTCAAATGAACAAGGAGACAAAATTCAGAGCTACTATATTTTTACTCTACCTTTATTATTATTATTTTCCCTTTAAACCTCTCAGGGATTTTAGTCATTCAGGAAACAAGTGTTTATTGAACATTTACTCAGTTTGCAGAAATTCTGCCTCCCCCCACCAAATAAAAGCAAGTCAACCTATATGATTTAATTTGCAGAACTCAGGTAAATACAAACAGTGTGCTGGTAAGTCCAATCGGGAGTCGTGTAATTGCACACATGATCAGAAGTTTTCATATGCTGTTGCTTTCTCAGACTGTAGAGAAAAGGTAAGATAACTCTTAATTATTTGAAGCCAAAGTATTTTTATATTAATAAGATCTAGCAATGTGCATTTGGCTACACATGACAAGAAATAATGTCTTGTTATGACACTGAACTAAAAAGATCTGGATTTAAGTGTCCTTAGATTAACGAACCTCATCTGTAAAATAAAATAAAACCTTCACTGCCCTGTCCATTTCACAGGATTCTTATAAACACACATGCTTACTTATCCTGTGAAAGCAATTTTTGAAATAAACGCTATTGTCTTACATCATTGTTTAATTTTGGAGAGGGTTTGACTTCTCCCCTTGGGTATAAGTCCCTGTCGTTCTCCCTCCGCACAGCACCTGTGGCCCCTCCCCACAATCCCTTGTGTTCTTTCCTCCCCTGTTTGATCCCCTTTCCTGCCCCTCCCCTGCTGGATGCCTCAGATCTATGGTCCGCTTCCAAGTTTTGTCTTTTTTCCTGACATTTTATTTGGTTTCTCTATATTCCGTGTACAAATGAAACTGTCCACTAATTATGCTTTTCCTCCTGACTTATTTTGCTTAGCACAGTCCATTCCAGCTCCACCCATGTTGCACAAATGGCATAAGTTTATCTTTTTTGATTGCTGAGTAGTATTCCATTGCATATATATATCTCACATCTTCTTGATCCATTCATCTATTTGGGGCTATTTAGGTTGTTTCCATGTCTTGGCTATTGTAAATAGTGCTGCAATAAACATAGTGCAGGTTTCCTCTCGCATTAATGTTTTTGTGTCTTTTGGGTAGACCCTGAGGAGAGGAATTGCTGGGTCTTACGTTAGATCCATTTATAGTCTTTTGCGGAATCTCCACACAGATTTCAGAGTGGCTGGACCAGTTTACATTCCCAGCAGAGTGTAAGAGGGTTCCCTTTTCACCACATCCTCGCCAGCACTTGTTGTTTCTAGCTTTTTTAATATGGGCCATTCTCACAGGTGTGAGGTGGTATCTCATTGTGATTTTGATTTGCTTGTCCCTCACATAAGTGATGTTGAATATTTTTTCATATGCCTGTTGGCCATTTGCAAATTTTCTTTGGAGAAGTGTCTTTTCTGCTCTTTTGCCTATTTTTTGATTGGGTGGTTTCTTTTGTTTTTGGTGAGCTGGGTGAGCTCTTTGTAGAGATTTGCTATCAGTTCCTCATCAGTTGTATGGTGTGCAAATATTTTCTCCCATGCAGTGAGGTTCACTTCATTTTGCTTGCTGTCTCTTTTGCAGTACAGAAGCTTTTTCATTTGATGTAGTCCCAGCTGTTTATATTCACCTTTGTTTTCTTTCCTTCTTTGCTTCCTCAGAGATGTTTCTGAGGTCTATGTCATGAATATGAAAGCAGTTTGTAATCCATAAAATAATATACTAGATTGTGGTGAATTCTGATTTATTAAAGCAATTATTAAGTATTTAACACGCATCAGCTTCCAGGATTCAAGGATCTAGAATCTGGAGCTCAGTCTGGCAGTCGTGACAAAACAGAACACAGTATAATATGTTGGTTAAGACTAGGTTCTATCTCAAATATTTCATTTTCTTAGTCTCAAAGCATTCAAAGGTATATCAAGTTGATTTTGCTGTTTACATTAGCTGAGACAAGTGTGCCCTTGGTATAACTTTCAAGTAGATCTATTTCAAAAACCTTATGAGACCATATATATATATATATATATATAAAATATTTTAATTATTAATTTATATATTTTATATACTTTGTATATTTATATATAAATTGATATATTTATATATATTTTCTATACACGCACATTATGTCAGGCACAGAGTGGACATTCACTAAATTGAAAGAGTTGTTATTATATACTGCTGCAACTCCCTCCTTGCTGAGCAACTGTGTTATTTCTTGAGGAGTTTCTGCAAAACTCTGCTCTAAGGCTTCTTCATGATTTTCTCATTTTATTTGAAACACATAAAATCCAGGTAACTTGCCAAAAACTCATCATTCGTATGTGATGAAACTAGATTTGAAAACTTTCTCTAGAACTTCAATTTAAAGAGTGTGGCTGAATTCAAAAAAGATAAACACATGCAATTTGCAGCAACATAGATGGCGCTGGAAGGGATCATGCTCAGCGAAATAAGCCAAAAAGAAAAAGAAAAATCCCGGATGGTCTCACTCATAGCAGGAATCTAGAAAACTTAAATAAGGGACCCGGAAAATGAATAACTATAAAAAAGTGAAAATCAAAATCAACAAAAAACTACGAACCAGAGACACTTTTAGGGGGGCGGGGGTGGGAGGGGAAGGATTGGGGTCAGAATGGGGGGGCTGCAATTGTATGGGGAATATAAAAATAAAATTTATTATTTAAAAAATAAATAAATAAAGAGTGTGGCTGAAAGATCGTAACTTATGGTGGAGGAGGGTATAAAGAAGGTAAGCAAGATCCAGTTGGGCAGAGCTTTATGGGATATGGGTTAGCCGAAAAAGTTTGAATAACATCATAGTAAATTCCTGTTTCAAAAAAACCTATAAAAAGTTATGAGTTTTGCTCCACAATGTTTGCGTATCACATTTGAAATTCACATTGATTCTGCTGTAAGACAGATTTTTTTTTTTTTTTCATGCAGACAGAAGCCCTAAGCACATTTCATTTAGAATACCCAAATTCTTGGGAATATATATATATTCATTCTTTACCAGGAAATTAAGTTAGGTTTGAAATTTCCAAATTTATATTCATTCTTGGAGTTTGTATTTTAGGTTCCTCGTTATAAGTTTCCGGTCACCAACTATCCAATTACCTTGGAAATTCACAGTGAAGATGGATCCAACCCATTGCCAAATCATTATCTGGTCACTATAACTGAAGTGAACGGAAGGGGAAACTGGAAACTAAGTAGAATTTTCTTTCTTCTCTAATTATTTTATTATGTCAGTAATGTTGTTTTTACCTAGATAAGTGGTGTACAAAATCTGTCTACACAAGAGGTGGTCAGGAGATCTTTGGAAAAGAATTCTGATCAATTGGCATCTTATTTTTACTTTGTTGCCTCCCCCTTACTCTAGCACACAGTGACCTGGGTTCTATGACATCAAATAATTTTGAAGAATTTGAACTGTAATACATTGAAAGCCATTTTATAGACCAATAGCAAAAATGATTGCTTGAGTTTGTGGTGCATGATGGTCTAGTGGCTCCTTCCAGCTTATTTTGTGGTGCAGAGGAGGTTGTAAAGTGATTTCAGATAAGCTATAGGCACTATCTTCTAATTATGTGAGAAAAGTTTCTAAAAGGTTTTATGGCAAACTAATTGAAAGATGCAGAAATTTTTTTTTTTAATATTGACTGATTTTATTTATTTATTTTTTTGTGGGACCCTCACCGTGGCCAGGGAACAAACCGGCGCTGCAGAGGCTGCGGGCAGCCTGTCAGCCCAGCGCTCAACCGCTGCGCCACCAGGGGAGGCCCAGAAATATTTTTATATATGAAAAATGAAATTGAACGCAATTCAATTTAACTTCAGATATACAACTTTCTTTTGCACATTGTATGCTTGTCCATGTATGAAGTTTAAGGAGATGGATGGATGGATATAGATTTATTTTAATCAGTCATTAATATGTTACCAAATAGGGCCTCCCAATGGCACAGCGGGTTGAGCGCCGCCCTGTGAAGGTGTCTGCAGCCTCTGCAGTGTGGGTTCAATTCCCGGCCGTCCAGGGGGAAACCCACATGGCGCAGCAGACCTCTCCTGCCTTGCCTGCTGCTCCCCTCAGCAGTGTATTTCAGTCTGTCTGCCTGTTCTGTTCCCCACTCTGTCTCTGGTGAATTCTCTCACCCTCCCATGCCTCTGACCATACCCCAGTTTTTGTATAAATAAATAAATCTTTAAAAAATATGTTACCAAATATCTAAACATTTGGTATTCAGTATGTCTTGCTCTGTCCAACATATGCATTTTTGAATTGTAAAATACAAGACAGAAAATGACTAAATGTTTTGCTTTAACTAACATCCCTATTTTCTGTGGTCTGCTGGTGCCTGCTATTACTAACTGCTATTACCTCTAATTATTAAATATTCAAGCATTTTACAAAATGATTATTAAACTAATAGTAGCTTGAAATTGGCCTTGGTGAGAGTATTTACAACATGGAAGTTGACAAATGGTACAATGAAATGTTTTTTTCCCCCTTTAAATACTATGTACAATTACACTTCTATAATGTCTAACCCCTACACTACATATCTGGCTTTAGAAAGAATTACAAGTAAGGTGGAAGTAACTGACCACTTCTTTTAGAAAAGATTTAAGTGATTATAGTGTGAAAGTTTTCTGCCATCTTATTGAAAATCATTTATCAACCACTAAAGTGGTCCTGAAATTATTTCATTGCTGCAGACACCAAGTGTGTGCAGATCAGAGCTGGTCACGATCGTGGGGCTAGCAGGAGAGGTCAACCCAAATGAAGGTGGTCAGAGGTTTTGACCTTAATAATGCCCTTAAGAAGATAACATGTGAGGGCCTCCCTGGTGGTGCAGGCAGTTGAGCGCCACGCTGCGAAGCTGTCCGCAGCCTCTGCAGTGCGGGTTCGATCCCTGCCGGCCATGGAGCAACCCACAAGGCGAAGCAGACCTCTCCTGTCTCACCCACTGCTCCCCTCAGCAGTGCATTTCATCAGTCTGCCTGTTCTGTTCCCCGCTCTGTCTCTAGTGAATCCTCTCACCCTCCCGCACATCTGGCCTATACCCCGGTTCTTGTATAAATAAATAAATCTTAAAAAAAAAAGGATGCCATGTGAGATATTAGTCCTAATTTCACCTAACTAGATCTTCTGCAAAGTCAAGAAGAGCTGAAAGTCTGGAATAACTTAGCCATGTTATAGAGTATACTCATTCATTGAACCTTAATTGTATGTGACATATTTTATATAAAATAAGAAAATAAGCTAAATGTGCTTAAAATATACTTTATGTGCTTTTAGAACAAACTGTACCAGAAAATGTAAAAATATTGAAAATTTTCTTAGAACAAAATCTTAATGCTTCAGTGTATAATCCTTCAGGCCTCAACTTAAGTATAAGGGTAAGTGGACAGCATTTTTATTTCTCCTGTTTTAATTTCAGATAAAATATTCATGTCTAAACTAAGATTGGTTTCAGTTTTAAAGTAAAGGTATCCAGGAATGGTGAAAATAGCATCTTTAAAGTATATGGAGAATGTTTATTTTTCCTCCATTTCCCTTGATACTATTATTTCTAAAGATATCTGACAGTCAAATTTAACATTAACTTCTATTTTTTGAGCTGATAGAAAAGACAAGTAGATTACAGAGCTAGGTGGAACAGAATGGATATTTCTAAAAGTAACCGGGGGAGGGGAAATGCACTTAATATTCCACCTGGTTGTACAGACATTTGTCTTCTGGTTCTGGCTGCCCATAAGAACACATGAAGTTACCATAATCTAGGTCATTGTCGTTAAAGCCAATAAAATGTATGGAGCAAGCCAAAAACATGAATGGGAAGAGGAGCCCAAAGTGCTCTTCAAGACCCTGTTGGGCCTTATGTTTCTGTGTGTGTAAATATATATATAGAGAGAGAGGAAGAGAGCTGCTGTACACTACCTGCTGTGTGCTATCAGATCCCTCTGTTGCACACTCTTGTCTTTAGGTCTCCATTTCCATTTTGATACATGATGTATATGCCCAAGAGTCAGAAGCAGCCTGAAATTTCCCCAAGCTACAGCTGCAGGGAAAGTGACCGCCGTATAGTTTTTCTTAAAGTAACATACATGTCGATGCTGCTGGTGACCAGATGTGTTTCTCCCACAGGGCTCTGAGCTTTTTCACTTCAGAATGTCCGTTGTTCCAGGGGTCACCTTTTGTAACTTAGTTGATGAATTTCAGGTAAAATGAATGTTTTCTCTCTTTCCTTACTTCTTTCCTCCCAAAAACAGTCCCTGTTTCAGGCAATAGCACAATAGTACAGGGAGCTAAACTCCTCATGACTTCCTTCCCAGAGCACTAGGGTAAAGTCTCTGGTAGTAGAAAGTATGGGGGAAGTCCCTAAGAGAAGAGAGGCAGAGAAGGAAATTCCTAATTCTGGATATGAATCGGTACAAGTGCCAGGCAGCACATAAGCAGAACACACCTAACTAAGGAAGCATATCAAAAGCTTCAAAATAAACTATAATGTAAACACCACTAAAGTTCCAGAACAAGCCCTGGATATCACAGAAGCCACAGTAGCATAGCAGAGCCTTCAAAAACTGAACTGCCAGGGCCTCCCTGGTGGCGTAAGGGGTTAAGTCTCAGCAGCTACTGCAGCATGAGTTCGATCCCTGGCCAGGAAGCTACCCACATGGCGCGGCAGACCTCTCCTGACTCGCCCACTGCTCCCCTCAGCAGTGTATTTCAGTCAGTCTGCCTGTTCTATTCCCCACTCTGTCTCTGGTGAATCCTCTCACCACACCTCCCATCCCCCACACCTGTGGCCTACACCCCAGCTCTTGTATTTGCATAAATAAATAAATCTTTAAAAAAAAAAAAAAAGGAACTGACAATGGAACCACAGAAAGTAAAGCATCACTTGTGATCTGAGCTCAACCAGCATGATTGTCTGCTACAACAAACCCCTAAAGCACAACATTTTCAATATGCCCAGCAGTGTGCAGAGAAATGACTATCAATCCAGAATTCTATATTTAGTTAAAATATCCTTCAAGAACAAAGGAAAAGTAAAGGTATTCTTAGATGAAGGAAAACAAATAAAATCTACTGTAGGCAGAACTTTAAAAAAATGCTTGAGGAAAATGTTCAGCATGAAAAGATGTGTCAGTGCAAGGAAAAGAAGCTTCAAGAAGCAAAGAAGATCCATAAAAATGAATAACAGGAAAATAGGAATTTTTAACAGGACCCAGAATCTTACAGCATAATAGTTTAAACGTCCGGGGTACAAATCGAAATTACTCAATATACTAAGACTTAAGAAAATGTGATCACTTATGAGGAGACAATCAACAAGTAACAAATGGAATTATTAGAAATAATTCCTCTGCTGCAAAGGTAAACACTTTTGAAATGATTGGAAAGAGAAAATTTAAGTAGACAAATAAAAGCTATAAAAAAGAGACCAAGTGGAAATTCTAAAACTTAAAAATATAATATTTAAAAAATGAAAGTCATTAGCTAGGCATTCAAGAGCAGAATGGATATAGTAGAGAAAATGTCAATGAGTTTGAAAATAAATCAGCAGAAATTCAACCTGCAGAAAAAGGATTTTAAAAAGTAAAAAAATGCCTCAGGAACTTGTATGATAGTGTGAAACGGTTTAACATTTATGTCGCCAGAGACCATGAAGGACAGGAAGGAGAGATTGGTGCCAAAAAAAAAAAAAAAAAAATCTAAAGAAATGAAGCCTGGAAATGTCCCAAATTTGGTGAAACATGAATTTCCATCTTCGGGAAGGTAAATGGATCCCCAAAATGAAATCATGCCTAGCTAAACACATCGTAATCAAGCTACTAAAACTCAAAGATAAAAAAAAATCTTGAAAACAGCCAGAGAAAAGTAAAACTACATTCAACAATTTGGATAACACTTCTGGTGCCCATTCAGTACTGTAAAGAGTCTTAGTGGCAAACAAAGGACCCTCAAAAAACAAAACAAAACAAAACAAAGCACCCTCACTAAAACAGAAAAGGGGCTTTTATGTCAACATAGATAAGGAGATTATTAAATAAGCTTATTTATAAAAAGCAAGGCAATAAAATTCACAGCAGCGCTATTGAAAAGGGACTGTAAGGAAGGAATTGCGGGGACTGTACCCTTGAATGGACAGCAGGTCGGGACTGTTTTTAAGAAAACAGGTAACTCCTTGGGTCGCTGGGAGGGTGGTGGCATCTATCACTCCAACTCTGAAGCAGCTTATCAGTCCTTTCTTGTCCTTAGCATGTCCCACATCCCCCACCGCCCTATTTCCGTTCATCTCCACTTTCTTCTCCCTCAAAGGATGATCATTCTCCCTATCTGACAGCGAAAACCGATGCCACCGGGCTCGAACCATCTCACTCTCCATAAGCCCCACTTCTGTTGATATATATGTCCTCCATCCTTGCCTCAAGTGTCAGAAAAAACCACCTCTCCGTGCTACTGTCCACCGTCCTCTCTCTCGCCTCAGAACTTGCTTTTGTGAATTTTCTAGACTGGCAGAGGGCACGTTCTGAATGCACAGAGAATTTTCCAGAGATGATATTTTGAAAGAGCACGTGCTCCCTTCCCCTAGTGTTCTGTGAACCCGCTTATTCTCTGTCCATTCCTCGGAAATGGGAGACAGAACGTTCTCTTGCCTTGTGAGTGCTCTTTCTGCCTAGCTCTGCTGTTAGAGACATAGGATAAAGGCACAACATCATAAATAGAACTTTTATTCCCTACTTATTGCGTGCAATTTGTTACTTGCCATATGGACAAGCAACCACTGCTATGTGTTGTGGGTGTTGAGTATCTCTGCAAGTCTGGGCAGAATTTTGCTAAATCGTGAATAGCGTCTGCACCAGGGTGGGCACTGTATGGCGTTCAATGTTTTGAATGACTAAATTCAAAAAGCTTAAAGACTTTGCTTTTTTTCTATTGCAGATTTATGTGGATGAAGTGCCCCTGCCCTTTCCAGGCCACACGCTTATTGCTATTGCCTCAGCTGTCGTGCTCGGGGGATTAATTTTTATAGGATTTGTGTTACAAATACGTGACATTCACCCCTTGGATTGGTGCGGAAAGCTGATTACAAAGCGCATCATGGCCCTACCATATTTCAGCGCCAATCAAGTGCACACTGAGTAGTGGACAAATGATAATCATAATGTTCACTTTATTTCCTAGTTTTATTAGACAATGCCTAGAACAATATATTTAAGTGTTACTATAAAAAATGAGATAAAATAATATAGAATTGCCATAATAACACGATTGCTCTTTGTCAATATGTTTACTTTTCCATTCTCTTATTTTGAATATGTAGAACATGTCTTAGGTCAGCACTTACATAGAGGATTTTCTTTGAGGTTTTTAGGAAAATATCAAATGATAACCGGCTCAGTGTAGAAAGGGCTTGCGGTAATTTTTGGCTTTTTTTGATGGGATCCCATTCTGGGGGATCAGAAGCCTGTGTGTTGCTCTTTGCAGACAGGAGTGTGAGTGGAATGTGAGCAGGCCCGGGACAGCTAGATGGCCACAGAGGCTACTCTGCAGGCTTTCAGAGCCTCGTGGGAATTAAAGGTGAATCAGTTGGGTTTCTAGAGGCAACATCAAAACCAAATGGTGGTACCTGGCCAGAGGACAATGTGACCCCATCCTGGGGCTGAGTAGAACACGGCGGCGGGGTGAGATAGTGACTCACGACCTTACAAGAAGCATGTAGCATTCCAAGAGATGTGAGTGCTCTGTGTGCTCTCTCAGAGCACCTGTTCCCCCCTGGTCAGAAGACAGCCAGAACGTTCGGGGACCAGAGTTATGGCCTCCAGGGAACGCTCAGGAGCACCTGCACACTGCTTAGCCAGCTCAGGGAAAGGGGAGGCATCTGATCCGGAAGAACCCAGCTCCGAGAGCTGTACACGGTGACTGTACCCCATGAACTTTCTTTTGAGGGGGTGGTGAGCAAAGGGGTACAAGAATCAGACTCAGGAGCCAAGCATCCGGGTTCGTCTCTTCCTAGGTGTGTGAGTTGGGCACTTTACTTAACATCTCCACACCTGAGTTTCTCCACCTGTTCGGTGGGGGTGCTCTTCATTGTGAGGGGCAAGTGAATTCATCCATGTTAGGTACCTAGAAGAGTGCCTGGCTTTATGCATACATAAGTGACAGGCGGTTTTGTTGTAAGGTTGAAAGTCATAGATAGAAACTGATTGTAATCAAGGAGGAAAGCTATTGAGAGGAGACTACAGAAAGGCCAGATAATCTACACATAGCAAAATCTACACAGTCAGTTCTTATCATGGATGGGAATGAGATCCACTCTGGGGACCTTGGAAACAAATGCCAACTCTTCAAATCATCACTTGAACCAGGGGTCCAGAGATAAAACATTGTCCAGTGGTTGAAAGTGTAAGCTCCAGTCAACAACCTTTTTTTTTTTTCTTTTACTCAACTTCTAAAATTTCCAGAAGAGTTGTGATGATCATGCAGCTCATTCCTCTATAACCCACACTCAGTTGCCTCTAATGCTAACACCTTACAGCCTGGGTTTTATCTAGCTCCATCACTTACCAGCTATGTGATGGGAAAGTCATCTACCTGGCGCAGCTTCTCTGCCCCCCTTTAGCTACTCAGCCTTCAGCTTGCACGTCCAGGCCACGCATCCTCTGTCTTCCTGCACAAAGATGCTCCCGCTGAGGCCAGCCAGCTTTCCACACACAGCCACACATTCATCACCTCCCTCCCCCACAAAATGGTCATCCAAAGTTCTACCTAAATACAGGATCCAGAGGTCATGTCGTAGAGTCGCTGTTCTTGGAGGCATCTCTAGGTGCTGTCTGTTTCTCTCAGTTTCTTCCCAAGAAGGAAAAACACTGGGGATAGTTATTACACTTCAGCAGAAAACAGGAAGTTGGAAGACAGTGTGACCCTTGCTTCTGTAACTAACACCCTGTTAGTTGATTTAGATTGATCTGATGTTGGATTGATCGTTCCACTACACATCCCACGTGCTTCCCTGCCCTGAGTAGCTCCTCAGGTTGGTAGGATTCTTTGTCTAGGAGAACAGACTGACTTTATTCCTGAACGAGCTCAGCCCTTGATAAACAGCCCTTTAGTAATCTGTCATCTACTTCGATGTAAGCATTTCCCATTCATCCTTGCCCCTGGGTGTGGCAGTAGATGTTTGTAGCCCAGGATCTTCCCAAAGTAATCTTGGTCCTCACTGTGTCATAGAATTTTTTTTTAAAGATTTATTTATGCATACAAGAACTGGGGTACAGGCCAGAGGTGCACGGGGTTGAGAGGATTCACCAGAGACAGAGTGGGGAACAGAACAGGTGCATCTGCTGAAATACACTGCTGAGGGGAGCAGCGGGGAGACAGGAGAGGTCTGCCTGCCCTGTGGGTAGCTCCCTGGCCGGGGATTGAACTCGTGCTGCAGTGGCTGCGGACAGCTTCATAGTGCTGCGCCTTAACCCCTTGCGCCAGCAGGGAAGCCCCATGTTATAGCATTTTTATTTTTCCTTGAAAATATCAATTACACTCCATTTAGCCTGTTTTCCTAAGACATAAGGAAACAAAAAAAAAAAATGGCTACATGGCAGCCTTGGTTTGTACTTCAGTAAAATCATTATTGCATTCACTGGTAGAAGCATTTCTACGCTGATTAGAAAGGCCATTTAATCTTAGAGCCCAAAATAGACAACACAGGAAGTAAAAATGTTGGCAGTGGTGTAGTAAGTGAACTCTTAAAAAGAACCATTTACTTTACAAACCTTGTTTCCCAAATTACTATGCCCTTGCTGCAGGAAACAACCCTACATGTCGGCAGTTTCTGACATGGCAGATACATTTCACCAGCTAGAGAAATCAGTGTTGTGCCCGGGCATCGTGGCCCATCTCATTTCCAGCCACACCAGGGGTCTAATTCTAACTGCAGCCTCACCCACCCTCAGCCAGTCCTACGATACAGAGTCACAGTAAGTTTAGACCCCAGAGCAGGAACACATGGGTTGGAACTCTGTCTTTGCCACTTTCTAGGGGCTGCTTCTTGGAGAAGTTGTTTAACTTTTTGGTCAATTGAGTGATTGACGTTTTGGGTCAATAGAGTGATAATTGTGCTACTCGCCTCCTTGGATTGCTTGCGTCTGATGGACTGACTGCATGTGAAGGACTTAGCACGGATCCTGGCACGTGGAAAGTGCTGTTCGTGTTAGCCGCGTTCACGGAAGGTCGAAGGCCATTAAAAAAATTCAGATTCTTCCCTTACTGATCTGTTCTTAATGACAAGCGAGGGGAGGGAGAATTCGGGGTGTGTCCATCTGAAGTCTTTCTCCACTGGGTCAGGTGCTTCTGGCCTTCAGTGGCCCCTATCAGGGTGCAGACTTGACCAGATTTGCATTTGTCAAGCCAATCCCTCCGAGATCCAGCTACCAGCCCCACTGAGTGCAGAATCACTATGAAAACAAATTGAGAAGACTCACATATTATTTTGTTCAATCTTTGGTAAAACATTCTCAAAAACCTTGATCCATAAAATTTTTCCCAGAGTTGTGATGACAAAGTCAACATATTTCTGTAATTTGCAATATATCTCTTCTAATTATGATTAACACGCTTTACGTTGACTCAGAATCTCCCATTCCACCAAGAGTGGGGCATAGGAGTGATGATGAGATTTAGCTTCCAAGGAGGCACAGCAGGAAGTGGCAAAGGTTTTTTTGAAGGAAGAGTTTAGATGATCCTTGGTGGGCTGAGCATATTAGTTTTTGTAGAATTACAACGCTCAGATCTCAGCTCTGAGTGGCTTAGGACAAGAAACGTGTTTTTTTCTCACTGGTCTGTGGATTGGCTATGGTGGTTCTGCTCCAGACAGGGCTGTCCCACCTGTCCGTCATTCTGGAACACAGGATAAAGTGTGTGGGAGCCCGCCAGGCTGCTCTTCTCACAGCATAGACCAGACACAAGAGACTTGGCCAAGCCATCTGACTATCAAACACCCACAGGGATGCACACTGTATCTGCTCATGTTCCATTAGCCAGATCAAGTCTCATGGCAGAGCCTAACACCAGGAGGATGGTGATACACAATATTCTCCTTCTAAAAGGTTAAGTTTTAGGATCCTACTCACCTGGTTGCTTCAGTTTTCTATTGCTGTGTAACCAGCTCCACAATTCAGTGACTCAAAACTGAATTTACTGCCTGTGGTGCAGTCTGGGCTAGGCTCAGGTAAGTGGTTCTGCTGGTCTCGCCAGCGGTCACCCGTGCTATGCCTTCAGCTGGCTGGTGGGCTAGGGGCTGGGTTCTGCTGGGCACCTGATGTCTGAGCTTCTCTTGGTCGCCTCAGGGCCTCTCCATTTTCAAGAGACCTTTCCACATGGCCTCTCTCTGTGAGGTGAACCCCCTCGATGGCAGTTCAGGACTCCCCAAACAGAAAAATGGAAGCTGCCACACTCGGGCACAATGTCACCCATATTCTGTTGGTTAGAGCAAGTCCCCATCCTAGGCCAGATTCAAGAGCAGAGAAGGCATGATCGTGCATGTTGCGAGATGAGGTGCACTGCATGTCAGCAATGCAAGATGTCCAGAAACTCCCTTCATCAGCAAGTCTAGGCTCCTTTATATGTTGGCGCTGGAACGTCCAAGATGACTTTTTAACTCACTTGGCTGACTCCTCAGCTAAGTTGTGGAAAACTTGAAAAAGTACAGAAAAAAATGAAGGAGAGGGGAACAAATCCTATTGCTCCTGCCTGCAGACACCTGCTTTCAACTGTTAATACATGCAGCGCGTGCATATTTGTATGGCTATCACTTCCAAGGTATTCTTCTAGAAACCTTTTTCTTCCCTCAACACTCAACATTTTTCCTTGTGTACCTCTAGTCTGCAGTGTCTTCCCAGTGCGTAGTAACTCATACTGCCAATGAGTAAAAACTTAAGTGCCTCCAGCTGCTTGAACCACAAGCACCACCCCAATACACTCCTGAAGGGCATGGGTGGAAATTTCCCTGCTATATTGAATTATGTACACCTGAAAGCAGGGATGCTGGGTCAAAGAGAAATCACATTCTTCATTTCACTGACAATCTCCAAATGATTTTTTCTAGAATATCCACTCCAGTCTACATTTCCATGAAAATTACAAGAGCTTCCACATTCACCCTCCCCAGCACTCAGCAGCACACATAACTTTTCATTTTGCCAGTCTAGTTAGCATAACGTATCTGTCATGTTAAAATGTATCACCCCAACTACCTCGTCAA